TGAAAGTTTCAGCAAATATGACTTTGAAAAGTTATTTTTTTTATATGATCTATAGTTTGGAGTACGAAATGTCAAATAATAGTGAAAAATGCTGGTCACAATTTCCCAAAGCTCTAACTGAAATATTCACATTGCTTCTTCTGCACAACCAGCAGTCTGACACCCCTAGGTTCACAGTACTGTCATACAATGCTCACATTTCAGAAGATGAAATCAGTGATTTTCTGGGGAGATTTGCACTTTAAAAAGTTACTTAAACTTAAAAACATAATGTTTTGATCAACTGATGTTCCAGCTCTAACTGCATGTAATATGGCGGTGTGGCAGTGTGTATGCGTGTGCCTGTCTCACATTGACGTCAGAAGGGAGGGACACATGTGGCGAGCGAGTAAAGCCGCAGCAGCCTCACACTTTATCCTGAAAAACGGAATCCCTGCTACTTTCCCTCCCTCCCTCCCTAACACTCATCTCCAAGAGAGAGGAATGATGGGGGAAATTGGGACGGCGTCTGCGCCTCCGCATCGCTGATTAGACGATGAAGAGAGGAACGCTTGATGATATAAACAAGCTTTCTGTGTGTTAAACTTTTTACACAGACTCCTGCAGGTTTATATGTATTTATTTTTGTTGACATCCGTCTGACGTGCGACCGGGCTCGGCTGGCTACACTCACTTATGCAATGTCCTGCCTAAAGAGGATACACTTTAACATCATCTGCCAAAAGAAGGAGACTTAGGGAGATGTTTTTAAGCAGCTCCCCTCCTCTCTTCCACGGCAGGGACTGCAGGCAGCTTTGGCGGGAACTAACGCTAGCTTCTGGATGGCAGAGGAGGAGTGACTGTGACTGGACTTGTTTGTGTTTTGTAAAGACCGTCAGTGTAGCTGGTTCTGCATATGGTCCTTGTCCCGCGCTTTAACACATCAGCGGAGCTCTCAGTGCTCCGCAGCATCCACGCTGCGCTCTCAGACACACAAACGCAGACAAACACACCAGCCGACAGGAGCCGAGCGGGGCAGCATCCTTCTGGCCGAGCACTGCTGTCTCCAGCTGGCAGCTGGCAAATGCCTTGACTTCTGCCAGTGATAACCCTGGACCTGAGCCAGCCTGTGCCTCTGTTCTGCCCCTTCTCTCCGCTTTCCTCTCTTCCTTACCTTGTTTCCTCTCTCCCTCCCCCCTGCCTCTCACTTTCCCCCTGTGACTCAGGTTCTCGTTGCCCTCCCCTCCTCTCTCCGGCTCCGTCCTGTCGTCTTCCTCTTCCGTACACTCGGATGAACTCGCTTTGCCTCCAGGTTTCAAGTGGCCTCTCTCAGCATGGCCGGGTAGCCGAGGGAAGGGGACATGGTGGGTTGTGTTAATGGAGGCTTGGGGCACGCTCCACAGCAACCGTCTGCTGACACACCCACTTGTTGCCCCTACCCACGCAAACACACACAACCTACACACACATGTCAACATGCTGGCATCCCCTCGGGGAGCAATGTGTCTTTAACCAGGATCTGAACATATGCCTGCTAACAGGCTGCCTGCCCTAGACTGAGTTGGACTAATTATGACTAAGCTGTTAGATAAATGCCACTCGGTTGCTCGATAAATACATATGGCACAACGTGCCAGGAGGGCTGCGGGCCGACACCGTTGTTTGGAGTGTAGTGGATAGAAACATTGGAAAAAACAGTGCAGTTTGTTTTTTAACGTTTTAGCATTCAAAAGCTTTTTTTAGCTGTCTTTGCACTTTACATCTGCCCTGTTTGGTTTGGTTCTGCTAAGCTCTACCGTGTTATTTTGGTTCGTTTGAGCTAGCATGAAAGCCGTCAGTCAAGCTCCGGTGCGGATTAAACAACCAGACTGAGACCGCCTGCCAAAAGAGGGTCTCAGTCCGCCTTCAAGCAAACTCTGATGTGGTTCCTTTGTGGTGTGAAATCAAAAACTAAACTGCTGTTAAATCCATCTGCTGATCATCAGCTGCTAGGAGGTCGTCCTTCCCGATCTGTCAAACGTAAGCGACGTATAGCCTGTATTTATTATCATTTAGTAACCATGGTAACACATACGTGCAGCAGGTGTGTGCAGGAAATTTTGCCTGATTTACCAGAAAATGGAAATGAGTTCAATCAGAGGTGTTTAGCAGTTCCTCTCTAAGGAATGACACAGTAACTACATCCTTATTATCACAATACAAAATTCCTTCCATTTCTATCTGTCACTATACAGGATATTATATAGGAGGTCCAGTTGCAGTTTCAATAAAAATCACAGGGTTAAAACTGGACCTAATGTGAGTCAGTACAGCACAGACATAATACGAGATTCATTTCACTCCAGTAGTATGTGACTGGCATAGCACACACGCATGTGCGACTACATCGGCAATCGCTGACTGCTGGACTGACAGTGACGGGTTGGAACATTTTACATATTGCCCAACCCTAGTACAGAGACACATGTTCACTTTCCACGTCGTCCTATTTTGTGGGGCTGCAGTGATTATTCAGTTAATTATCAACCATTTAAGTAATCTTTGGCTTTGGTGATCAACATTTTTCATCCTTTTCTGACATTTTATGGACCAAACAACTAATCGATTAATGGAGAAAGAAATCAAAGCTGAGAATGTGTGTTAGTTGCAGCCCTAGTGCTCTATGTATTACCATAATTTGTATGGGCTTCATTTAAATTGAACAGAAACAGAAGGTTTTTCTGTAAAGAAAATGGAGGTGGAATCAGTTCAAACTATAGCAGCAATGATTAATTGATCACTTGTCAACTATTAAATAAATCGGCAACTATTTTATTAATCAATTATATGATTATATTTTTTAATCATTAAAAAAAAAGTTAATATTTTCTGCTTTCTTTAACCCTTTATGTGGCCAAAACAAGACATTAGAGGACGTCACCTTGGACTTTGGGAAACACTGATCAGCATTTTTCATCATTTTCTGACATTGTATGGACTTGAATCAATGTATCGATAATGAAAATAATTGTTAGTTTTGGCCTACTGTTTTCATCCATGTGATGAAGTTTTTATTTGTGTTGATCCTCTAAGCTGATAGGAAAAGTATTGCAGTTGCTCCCCTGCTGGTGAATGATTGGCTCTTGAATGCCTCTTGGCTGTATTTCCTCTCAGTGCTTTTGTTCTCACTGATTACAATGTGGTGCATATCATTAAGGCTATGTGTTTGTTTGAGTGAAACAAGATTCTCTGGAGCTCTGAAACACCCAGAAAACTTTTGAACTTGTGTTTGAGATTCAGTCACGCTGCCTCCCGAGTCAGCGGATGTGTATTTTTGGGTAAGCTGTGTGTGTAAATAGAGCTGGCAATGAGCACTGGTGCCTAATTAATTTTTACTCCCAGAAACTTTCCTG